GAGGGAGAGGGAGAGAGAGAGAGGAGCACTAGCAATAAATCTTTTTCATAATTCCCCAGCACTTATTTAAGCATAAAGTGTTAGGGTTTCAGTGCTTTTTGAAGCACAGAACAGTTTCCAACAGTTTCAAATTCCCATCATTTAATAAAGCACAGAGAGTTAAAGGGAAAAGAAGCCAGTGGTTTCCAGCCACAGAATAAGGAAGAGAGTATTAAGTTTCCAGAAGCCATCATCTTCGAGCCCCCAAAACACTTTGAGAGAGTTACAAGGTGGAGCCCCCATCAGTCTTTTGGTCTTTGTCTAACTGAACTGCAAAAGGCCAGGGCAAGCCCCTGGCACCAAACCACGACTGTCTCTTGAAAAAAATCCAAAGCAAAAAGGCCTTTGATCATTTAGGAGAGCTTTACCCAGTTTTATAGCAGTGACTATACCTAAAGCAGTAAAATAAAAGTCATATAAAGAGCCAGCGTCTCCAAGCTGCCAGCAAAATGGAAGCATAACCCTTCACAGTAAACCCTATGAGATAGAAATGAAATTCAGAGTGTGGTGACGCACAGTTTTCACCCTAGAACCTCGGAAGAAGACATCGGAAGTTCAAGGTTAACCTTGCCAAGTAGTGAGTTCCATACTAGCCTTGGCAACAATAAAATCAAAACCCTTCTTGTTACTTTATCTTCAACACAAGTAACAAATAAGTTCTACAGAGTAGCAGAAGAAATGGGGTCCAAAATGCCAAGCCCTCCCTATCATCACCTGTCTAGGGTGAAGAATATTTAAGATGTAGGCTATGCTTATCTTACCATTCATGTATTTTGTGGCAGAACACATACAAATATCAGCACCCAGAGCCAAAGGTCTCTGAAAGAAAACAACAGACATTTTTACTTCAAATGAGAAACCATCTGAAAAGTACCATTCCAGCCACCTGCGTCTGTCATATCTGATCCCACAAGAATCTGTCTCTGTTTTTCTGTGTAAGAATCCACTCAGCTTCAATTTTTCTAAGATCTTGAGTCTGCCCCTACAGTTCCTTCTACCAAAGATGCTCCAAAAGAAAAAAACGAAAACAAAGAAACTCTGGGCTCAGAATCTGAAGGCACAAGTTGCAAGGAAACAAAAGGCAGGCCCAATCTAAGCCTTCCTAAACCTGTTCTTCTACAGTTACTGGCTGGTTCTGAGCTTATTGCCTGAAGCAGAGATGTGTGTGTTTTATGACTCCTTAAACACATGGAGCAGTTTATGAAAGCATCAGGCAATTTTTGTGCCAAGGGAGTACAAACTACTTTGCTTAGATTTTTTTAATCATTAAAACCTGACAAATTAAAAGGTGTTTGTTCATACTTGGTTTTGTGGGCTCTTGATTCCTAGTTACTTTTTCATTGTACTAGTTTTGACAAGTATAAAGTCACAAAGAAATTTGCTCATACAGGAGAGATGGCTCGGCATAGCCTGAATCCAATCCCCGGAAACCAAAGACAGAGCTGAATCCACAAAGGCATGTTCTGACCTCCACTACCATAGTGTAAAGCGCGCGCATGCGCACAAACACACACACACACACACACACAAACACACACACACACGTCCAAATAAATAAGTTTTCAAAGGAAATTTGTTCAGATTATTCTTCCCTAATGTTGCTGCCAACTAATCACCCTATGTCTTTAAAACACATACATTTGCACTCATTTACATGTTTTACATATATGTTTTGTTTTTGTTTTTGTTTTTTTCAGACAAAGTCTCTCTTGGAGGTTCTTACTTAAAACACTCATGGCTGTGGTTTGAATGTCTGTGTCTCCTCAATTTACATGTTGAAATTTAATGACCATGCTATGTTATTAGGACTCAGACTCTGCTAGATGATGGGCTCCTGAGAACAGACCTGTTAGGAAAAGGATAGGAGTCTCATGGATACCCCAGAGAGCTGCCTGGATTCTTCTCCACAGGGACTTGATAACTTCCCTAAACTTGTTTCTTTACAGTTGTTGCCTGGCCCTGAGTTTATTGCCTGCAGCAGAGACTTGTGCATTTTATGGCTCCTTAAATACACGGAGCAGTTTATGAAACCATCAGGCAATTTTTGTGCCAGGTGAGTACAAACTACTTTGCTTAGATTTTTTTTTTTTAAGGATTTATTTATTTTATGTGTATGAGTATACTGTCACTGTTTTCAGACACACCAGAAGAGGGCATCAGATTCCATTACAGATGGTTGTGAGCCACCATGTGGTTGCCGGGAATTGAACTCAGGACCTCAGGAAGAGCAGTCAGTGAGCTTAACCTCTGAGCCATCTCTCCAGCCCCCCCTTTGCTTAGATTTTTAATCATTAAAATCAGACAAGGTACAAGGTGTTTGTTCACACCTGGTTTGTAAGAAACAAAGTCCTGCTCTGAAGCCATCCAGATTGCAGCACCGAGCTACTGCAGCCCAAAGAAGCCAAGAATTCTTAGGCATAACATGAGATAAGTGAAGCAGAAATTCCTATTTTAACATGGATTGATAATCAGGACACTGCCGTGCTGGTGCCTATGATGTGGATGGCATCAGAGATGCAACCACCCAACAAGCCAAGTCTTTACAAACATTACATAACCTAAGAGATCAGACCAGATTGCCCCAGTGATATTCTAAGGACCAGAAAGGTTAAAATACAAAGAGAAGCCCCCAATCTCTCACCATCAAGAAACCTCATAAGCCTAACTCCTAGTGGCTCCTGGTGCCTCAACTCAGATGGCTGAAGAAGGGTTCAAATAGGCAAGGAAGGCAGGTAACTTCTCTTCACTGCTATAAAGGACCCCATTACTTCTCAATGATGTACAGTCTCTGATACTTCACCTACCATGTTTCTATCCATATTGTCTGTCTTAGGGTTTTATTGTTGTGATGAAACATCATGACCAAAAGGCAAGTTGGGGAGAAAAGGGTTCATTTGGTTTACATTTCCAGATCATAGTCCATGATTGGAGAAAGTCAGGACAGGAACTTAAGCAGGGCTGTAACCTGGAGGCAGGGGCTGATGCAGAGGCCATGGAAGGTACTGCTTACTGGCTTGCTTCCCCTGGCTTGCTCACCCTGCTTTTTTAATAGAACCCAGGACCACCACCCCAGGGATGTCTCCACCCAGAATGAGCTGGGCCCTCCCCCATCAATCACTAATTAAGAAAATGCCTTACAGCTGGATCTCATGGAGGCATTGTTTTTTCAACTGAAGCTTCTTCTCTGATGTTTCTACCTTGTGTCAAGTTGACACATAAACCAGCCAATACAGTGCTGTTCTTACACATTCTGGCCTGACAAATGTGTTTACTTCTATTCTTGGGGTTCACTGATCCCAGAAAAACTTCCAATAAAATAGTAACAGTTTTGAGATATTAACTAATATAAAAAAAAAAGAAAGTCTAAATCTGATTCTTTGTCTAATCAATAATAGTTATATCTCATAAGTTTGATAGTGATTATATTATAAAGTAGACCTCTCTTTTTTAATTACAGATTACAGTATGGTTTGTTAATCACAGAAAAAAACCCTTTATTTCATTTACCTGGAAATATGCAGACATGAAAGAGTTATCTACAACCAAAATGATGTCTCCACGTTTGTGGACAATTCGTGCGCAGGCTTCGATATCAACCAACTTCAAGGTTGGGTTTGTGGGTGTTTCAATCCAAACAAGCTGCAATAATTCAGCAAACAACAGTATGTAAAAATATATGACATATACTCACATCTCACATACAACAATGTAGAAGGCAACTACTTGCCGTGCTGGAAAGCTTTAGACAATAAAGGTGGAATGCTTAAGTCTGAATCTGAGCTTTCCCTACAAATTTCTCATAGGCTATTGCTTCATAAACTCTTCTTTCTTCTTCCAGTTCATTTGCATAAAAGTGTTGGTGATACTTATCTTACAGGACAATTGTTAGGGCCAAATGAGGTTATGTGTATCTAATAAGAAAAAGTTAATTGTATCCCAGAGACATGTATCTGGAACTTCTGTTCTCAAAAACAAATAATACATATTGTATAAAAACACACCCTTGCCCTGGAGAAGTGGCTCAGTAAAGATCTTGCCTAGCATGCATGAAGCCTGAGATCAACCCCTAGCACTTCATAAACCAGAAGGGATTGGTGGGTGTGAGGGCGGAGGTGGGAAGTTGTGATGCCTATATTCCTAGCATTCAAATAACTGAGGCAGAAAAACTACAAATTCAAGGTTACCATCAGCTAAGTACATCCTCAGAGTTAAATAATGGCAAAGGCAACAATTGCACTAAACCTTAGGAAATGCATCAGGCTGAAGAAAAGAAGTGGCAGCCATGCAGAGAGACAGGTTCACTGGCAGTGCAGTGATCTACCTACCACAAGCCAGCCATGATGTGCACCGTCAACAGTTACTGAAAATACCAAATGAAAACTCTGTTAAATAAGGTGCATCTGCTTTGAACTGTATTATCTACACTTTTCTCTTAGAAGAACTAATGACTTCTCATTACCTATATAGACAGACAAAATATCTAGTTGAATGCACTCTCTGGTCTGGAAGTTCACTATTAAAAAGTAGTTTGAAATTTCTGATTTACATAAAAAGCTATAAAAATGACTCGGGTAACAATAATGAATTCTCATCAAGATAATTTAAAAAAACAAACAAAAATGAAAACAAATACCTAAGTACAAAATCTGTTTTATGTAGACTTTAAAAATTGACTGCAGGGACTGAAGAGATGGCTCAGTGGTTAAAAGTACTTGTTCATGAGACCAGGGTTAGATTCCCAGCACTACAAAGTGGCTTCCAACCATCTGTAATTCTAGTTCTAAGGGATCCATCACCCTCCACAGATGGCAGACACACACAGTACTCATATGTACATGGAAACAAAACACCCATACACATAAAGCAAATAAATCTTATGCACATATAACTTCAAAAGCAGAACCTGTGTTTAAGAAGGAAATGTATTAATTCAAGTGAGTAAAGAGCCAGCAAACAAAATTTGTATGGACAAAATTTATCATACTCGTGATCTGATTTCTTCCCTTGGGAATACTCAGACCAGTTATTTGAATATTTTTTTCTTCTCTCAAGCAAGATAAAAACACAACTTCCTTGAAAACAAAGCTTACTTAGTAAAAGCTGTTCCAGGCTAATCTAGAAGGAATCCTTTGTGTGAAGGACTTTCACCTTTTAGTATTCACCACCACATTAGACTTGGGTACAAGTCTAATGTTTTAATTTAATACTTTTAGTATTCACCACCACATTAGACTTGGGTACAAGTCTAATGTTTTAATTTAATACTTTTAGTATTCACCACCACATTAGACTTGGGTACAAGTCTAATGTTTTAATTCTTAGCAGAGAGTTGGAAGGCTCACTCATAAAAGACATTGGTCTTCCATTCCCGCAGAATTTAAATGAGGTTCCAAAATACCACATCTGCTATTCAGGCACAAATACCTTCCATGGCTCACAAGCTTCCCAGGACAGAGATCAAAGCCATTGGACCAAGGAGGTCTATGGTCTTTGAATCATGTTCACTCGGTATGTCTGAGAACTATGCACTCTTGAATTTAAATTTTCTACCAAAAGAAAAATAGATGAGTGGAGCTGAGAGATTAAACGCACACTAGCTTCTAACAATGCACATAAATTTTAAACTTACTGCTAGAACATTGACCTCCCCCTGCAAGACAGGGGTCACTTTTAAAAGGCCATGCTGTGCCTCCCTATGACTTTCTTCTGGGACAGAGAGTTAAGAAGCAGGCTGTGCTACGACTAACAGCAGTCCCTGATTTATATACCTGGCTCATTCACCCTTTTTGTCATGTACATAATATTGAACTAAATCATATGATGTGAAACTTATAAAAGTCTGATATTCTCTTTGATCTTGGGATTGCTGTGGAAATTTACTTCAAAGAAGCTCTGTTGATACCTCCTACCCCTCTCATGGCAGCTGTCTATCTCTGCACATCTCTCTGTCCTTCTCTCAATCTCATTCCTTTTTTAAGAGTTTAATTTTAGTTATGGGAACATATGTATGTCTGTGTATGAGTCTATGCATGCAGGTGAAGGTGTCTACAGAGGCCAAAGGCATTGGATTTCCTGAATCTGAAGGTATATGCATTTATGAGCCACCCAATATAGTGTTGGGAATCAAATTTGAATCCCCTGCAAGAGCAATGCATGTTCTTAACCACTAAGCCATCTATCCAGCCGCTCATTCTCACTCTTTAAAGTTCCTCTGAGTTTTACATTTATTTACTACTTTTTTATAATGTGTATTCAGTGTTTTGCCTGTGTATATATCTATCTGGGTACCACACACATGCCTGGTACTTTCAAAGGTCAGAAGAAGACATTGGCTCCTATGGGACTCAAGTTATAGGTAGTTGTGAGCCACCAAACCCTGGTCTTCTGCAAGAGCAGCAAATGTTCTTGACCACTGAACCATCTTTCCAGCCTCTCCACTTCAGGTTTTCACTTTCAGGAAATCTCCCCTTCCCTTTAAAGCCCTGTTATGTGGTTTTAAATATATTGTACCGTTTTCTGTCTAATGCTCTTTTTCTCCCTCCTACCTCAAGGCCCAGTTGAAATTCTACTATAGAATTTGTATGTGCACTCCAAGTAATTATGCTGTCAAGACATAGACTCTAGCCCATGTCAAACTCAGTGTTTCCAACAGATTAATAAAATGCTATTTGGATTTAAATTACAACCTCTAGTAAACAGAAAGTATGAGCTTAACATATCACAGGAAAAACAGACAAAATCAAAAGCCAAGCTAGTTACCTTGGTTTGTGGTGTAATCGCTGCCTCTAGCAATTTGGTTTGGGAACAATCCACAAAAGAAATCTTCAGTCCAAATTCACACGCCACCCTCCTGAAGTACCTGTTGGTGCCTGAGGCAGAAGACAGATAATATGCAGAGAACAAGATGTCAGAAGTATCTGCTCTTGGCAGATCTGCACAGTTCCAAAATGAGAACTCTCAAAAAAAAAAAAGGCAACTAAGAGCAACTTCACTGTAGCTAAGCAACATGGTTTGATATACCACAGAGGCAAACAAAATATACTTGACAAATACAAACGACAAGAAGCAGAACCATTTCTCAAACTCCCCTTCCTCTACTCTTCCAACACAACATCTTCCGTAGAAATTTCAGCATGTATACACATATATATACAAGACAGGGTCTTGATTTGAGCAATCCCAATGGATATATCTACAACACAACTCCTGCACTTAAGGCTCAAGAATCATTACAGAAGAGGGAGCAGAAAGATGGAGATAAAAGTTTGCTATGAAATTGAATTTCCTATAAATGTCAAAAAAGACTAATCCATGAAATCTCACCAACATGGCTGCCTAAGACCTGAACAACAAACAGTGAAATCAATAGACATGCTAACATGGGAAGGGCAGAAGCCATGAGGCCTTAACCTAGGCAGAGAACTATAAAGAACCAAAGGAGGTTAAAGAAGGCTGAGTGTGGGAGAAATGGTCTTCCTCAGAGTGGAGGCTCCCAATTATCCAATACCCTGAGACTGTAAACATACAGATAACATTTTATGGAGTGAGCAAGTTGTATTTATGTATTTAGGAACACACACACACACACGTAACAATGATCAAAGAAGAAAAGGTCATGAATTTGAGAGGATGATCGTAGAGGGGTGTGTATGTGCATGGGAAAAGTTGAAAGGAGGAAAGGGATAATGGTGTAATTTTATTATCATTTCAAAAGTATGTATTAAAAAACAGAGTCTCCCTGAAGCTCAATTGATTTCAAACTCACTATATAGCCCAAGCTGTCCAATTCATGGAAATTCTCTTGCCTTAGCCTCCTGAGTGATGTGATCATAGGCACAAGCAATTGTTAGCAGTTTCTTCATAGTATGCAAGTCTAAAGCAAATGAATCATTATTGGCGAGATACACAGGTCAAAGACTCTGGCCACCAAGCATGGAAACCTGAGCTTGATATCACAACTTGCAGGGTAAAAGGAGACAACTGCCTCTCAGAAATTGCTCTCCTATGACATTCATTGACACTATGTGATTTGACAGCATAACCCATACCAAGTGCAAGTGTTATATGTTCAGAACCAAGGCTCGGGTGTGTTTGAAGGCTGATCAAGTTCTACATCCTTGTTCTAGCATCTTACACACAATTCTTATCAGACAGTCTCTTCTAGGCACTTCTGGAACACAGAGTCTGAGCCCCTTGGAGATGCTTGCCACACCTTTGAAAGAACATAGTTCCTGAAAGTGGCAATGGTGCCTATGTCATTCAAGACTTACTGCTATCTTCAAAGATACTTGAAAATGAGAGATCACTTACCTCCATACACTACATCCATGCAAATGACTTCATCTCCTGCTTTTAAAAGATGGGTAATTGTCGTGGTGGCAGCTAGCCCCGATGCAAAAGACAAACCTACCACAAACAGCAAATTCAAGTAAGCTAAGACCCAAAATCTTAGCAACAACCTAGTGCCACCTGTACTATGGTTCCCCTGGCTAACTGAGCTGCTACTGCTGCCATTCCTCTGACGTCCTCCAATGTCATGACAGACCTTTCTGTTTGAAAAATAAAACCTTTAAAATATTGTGTGTAGGAGCTGGAGAGATGGCTTAGAGGTTAGGAGCACTAACTGTTGCTCTTCCTAGAGGTTATGAGTTCAAGTCTCAGCAACCACATGGTGGCTCACAACCATGGATCTGAAGCCCTCTTCTGGTGTGTGTGAAGACAGTGACAGTTTATTCATATAAATAAAATAAATAAATAATTCTTTTTAAAAATCCTGTGAGTATATAAACACACACAGAGAAGATAGATATTGAGACTTTTTCTCTTCACTATTCTGATCATTTAGCATCATTTATATTAAAAATAAAATGATGACTTAACCAGAACTCCCTCCCCAGAAAAGATCGAGGGATTGAGTTCCTTCCCTCTGAAAGCATATTATCAAAGACTTTGGGTTTGGCAGATGAGCATAGTGATAGCCTGAGATTAAGTGAGGGCTATCTTTCTGCTTGGTCCTTACTTACTTCATCTAACTAGTGAGGACACAATTGCATATTCCTGCTGAAGAATACTGCCAAAGGATTCACTGTCTTAGGAAAATGTGAATTTGGAAGATGAGGATCTCTATTTTCTATTTTCTATGCCTCTGTGGTCCCTAGACACCTAAAGAGAATCTGGCTTTCATTCCAGATGTGAGTATCTTACTGTGCTTTGCCCCATCCAGTGCAGCCACTGCTTTTTCCAAGCAATTCCTTGTTGGATTTCCAGAGCGGCTGTATACAAAACCCTGAAAATAAGAAAGGGGGAAGAAGGAAGAAAAGGAACAGGATTTATTATTCATCATCTTAAGAGCTTTTGGTTATTATTAGAACCCATGAAGACATGGCCACAGCTACAGGGCCATCCCACCATAACTGCTTTCTATCTGTGGCATTGTTGTGCCTATGGCAGTTTGGAGAAGCTCAAGACATAACCAAAGGTGGGGCTGGAGAGAAGGCTCAGCGGTTAAGGATGCTTGGTACTCTTTCAGAGGACCTACTTCAATTCCAAGCACCCACGTATCAGTTCACTGTCTAGAGCTCTAGTTCCAGCTGTCTGAGGCCCTCTTCTGGCCTCTGCAGCCACTGCATGCTTGTGGTACATACAGACATGCTGGCAAAACAAAAAAGAAAAATGTGTAAACTAGGTGAGAATGACGTACCTGCCACCTATGAGCTTGGTACTAGTAAGGAAACGCCTCACCATTCCAACAGTCACTCTGGGATTGGGGGAAAAAATACACATTTACTTGCAAAGTTGTGAAGATGAAATGGGGTGAGGCATAAATCCCTCAGCATGCTGCCCTAACCACTAGGTAGGTGGCAGTTCCTTAACATTAGAACGAGGTTATGTTAGCCTCACTCTCTCCTTATAAGTCGGACCCATTAGGAGAAGGGAATCTGTGCTTCTCTTTCCAAGGCATAAGTGATACAGGTCCATTTAGCACATGAGAGGGTTGAAGGACCCATTCAAGTGCTCAGGGCTCAGATCTTAACCCTATCAAAAAAAATGACTCAAAACAAAAGGAGGAAGCAATTCTCAGTGAAGATCCTCCTGTGTCACACTCCCTTTGCACTTAAGATCATCCCTTTATACTTAAGATTCATTTTAACCATTTTATTTAGCCTTGTGACCTACTTGGAGAAAAGCAGCCAAATGCTTAAGATCTGGGGAATGTGAGGGCCAGAGAGCCAATCCTAAGATCTGAGCTCCCGTGGTCATACACATCTGATAACCCAGCAGAATCGAAGTTGGATCTGTGAGTTCAAGGTCATCTCTGCTACTTGAGAGAGACTGTCTAAAAAAAAAAAAAAGCCTACAATTTTCTCCCTGGGCTTATACAGCACGCCACTATTTATACCCTTGTTTCAGACTTGGAAACTTTCAGTATTAGTAATAATAATTTTAAGAGTTTCCCCCTGAGTTAGATAAACACTGTTTACAGGGCTCCAGCACTTACCACCTGGATGCTAAACTCACCAAGCCTTCCTTCAAAAGCTTGGCTTCTAGAACAACCCTGTATTCACATAAATATTCATAAGCACGCAGCTATTTAACTTCTAGGGTAGGAGAGCTTCTTTCATTGGCAAATTATCTTGTGCACTCTGTGGTTTTTCAAATGGAACTAAAGATTTCTGATACTTCTCATTGATGCAGTGCTATATTATCTTTTGGAGATTCTGAGCACATACTGGATTTAACCACTCCTGCTTGCTCTCTGAACCATTTAAACATTAACATCATACCTGAATGCTCAATTTCTAAACACTGTTCTATACAGGCAGCAAGCCTACCTAGGAGGGGCACACTTGGAGGAGGTGATGTGGTATCCTAGCCTGATATAGAGATGCTTTTGGGACTTCACCTCACACCAAAAAAAAAGGGGGGGGGCTGTTTGTAAGAACTTTACCTGACTTCGAACACAGAAAGGCAGTTTCCAGAGCAGTCAAGACCTGAGAATGTGCAGCAATTGCTTTGTTAACCATTGTCCTCTGAACCTGGGGCAATTTTTAATATACCAAGACCCATTTAATAAGCTACTAAAAAGGAAGGTGCCATGAGATTCACAAGACTGCATTTACAGGCTTTCCCGGTCACTTGGTCACTTGTGCTTGTTTGAGTCTGAGTCAGTTTCCTTTTTTATAAAAGAATTTAACACCTGCCTTCTGACCTGGCTGCTGTGGTCAAAGGAAACGACAAGACACGAAGACTGCAGACACCAAAGTACTTCTAAGTGTGTGTACCACGGACTTTACAACAGTAACAGCTTGTGTGGTGTGTTCTATCATTATCCCAGTTTACACAGGGTCATCTCAAGTCTTGCCAGAAGAGCTGATGTAAGAATTAAAACCCATGTGCTCTTAATCACAAAGCCACACTACTTAGATCAATGGTTGCCAACCTTCCTGATGCTGTGACCCTTTAATACAGTTCCTCATGGTATGTGGTTACCTCCACCCCCCAACTAATAATTTTTGTTACTACTTTGTAACTATAATTGTGCTACTGTTAGGGATCGTAATGTAAATATCTGACATGTGATCCCTGAGGAAGGGTTGTTCCACTCCCAAAGGGGTCACAGCCCAGAGGTTGAGAACTACTGGCTTAGATGATGAAATGGCCTGAACTATTACCTAGCTCAGTTACAGTGCAGCACCATGCAGCCAGTTGAAGAAGGGAGGGAGTTCTAGATAAATTAAAGCCCAGTTTCATGGCTCATGAGCCTTGGTACTCCTAGTGCTGGTAACCCTACATCTCAGCTATCTCAGTCTGAACACGGAAACCTTAGTTCAGGATAGGATCCTTCTTGTTAACCTTGAATGTGACTCTACATGTAACACACATAGATCCTAAGTATGCATTTGGTACATAAATACTCATTTGCTACTAACTGAACACACTTATTGAAACTAATCTTAATTCTAGGATTTTCATTGTTTAGTGAGTGTGTGTGTGTGTGTGTGTGTGTGTGTGTTAGACAGACAGACAGACAGACAGATAGATAGAGAGGGGGAGAGGGGGAAGTAGAGAGAGAGAGAGAGAGAGAGAGAGAGAGAGAGAGAGAGAGGGAGGAAGGGAGGGAAAAAAGAAGGAAAGGGAGAGAGGGACAGAGAGGGAGAGAGAGGGGAGGGAAGGAGAGAGAGGGAAGGAGAGGAAGGGAGGGAAAGGGGTGAATTGCAAGCCTATGGGTGCATCAAAGGACAACTACAGGCTACAGGCTACAGGAGTTGGTTCTCTTCTTCCATCCTATAAATTATGGGATTGAATTATAGTAGTCAGGTCTGGTGACAAGCACCTTTTATACACCTGCATATATATATATATATATATATATATATATATATACATAAATATATATATATATATATATATCTCCACCATGACCAAAAGCAACTTAGGGAAGGGCAGTGACTGCACTCATTGATGTGGAGCAGGGAAGCTTTGGGGACCAGGCAGCCATGCTAGCAGTGGGCAAAGCAAGAGACAATCCCTGGTGCAAGACACGCAACGCTGGAAGGTTTTTGTGTCCTGTTAATGGCTGTTGGAACCTGGGCCATTTCCTCTGCAGTTACAGGCGCGGTTCAGTTTACGCTGCAGCAGGAGCCCAGGGTAACTATGGTATGACAGTAATAAATATTATACTACTTGCAACCTAAAAAAAAAACAAAAAACAAAAAACTTTACGTCCATCTAACAGTTCATCTCGGACAGGAATCTGGAGGCAAGAACTAATGCAGAGGCCAAGAAGGGGTGCTTCTTTACTGGCTTTTTTGCTCACCCAATTTATAGAACCCAGGACCACCAGCCTAGGGGTAGGGGGTGTCCTCACTCACAATGGACTTGTCCTCCCCCATCAATCTCTAATTAAGAAAATACCTGCTTACAGCCTGATCTCCTGGAGGCATTTTCTCAACTGAGGTCCTCTCCTCTCTCGCTTGAGTCAAGTTGATATAAAACTATTCAGCACAACTGCTGAGCCATCTCACTCACCCCAAGACCTTTCAGTTTTCAAAGTAGGCCTGGCTGCAGGTAGCTTCGCTGCTACAGAATTCAACAACTTACAGTTCTGATTTTTAACTGAAAATCGCAGAGACTGCATGTCCCGAGCGCTCCCACAGTCAGCCCAGCCCTGCCCGGCTGCTCACCGAGGACTGGCCTGGCGAGTCTTGCTTGAACGTGGTGGCTAGCGAAATGGGCAGCACCACAGCGCGCGAACTCCACTGCTCGGGCTCTTGTCCCTCATGGATGGCCTGAGTGGCGAAGTGCTGGAAGCTGGGCAGGAAGCCGCTCGAGGAAGCGTCCTTCTGCATGGTGGGGCCTGAGAGAGTAGTGTGGCTTTGGCTAGTAAGACAACGACTATATCCTTCTGGAGCTTGGCGCTTATATCCAGGGCGGGGAGGGGCCGACGCGGCCAATCAGCGCTGGTCCCTAGGTAGCAGCCCTGCTCTTTGGTCGGCAGTGGAGGTGTTACCCTGAGTGTTCCTGCCCCTCCTCCCAGTGGCACTGAACAGCGGCAAAGTGGGGCACACAGCAGCCGGCTGTAGTCCCAAGCCCCGAGGCCCCCCTTTTCTGCAGGGTAGGGAAGCAAGTGAGGGCCTCCTCCAGCAGCCTTGCGGTCTCCGAGCTCTGGCAAGGGTCGCGGAGGGATGCGCTTCCCTCGAATCAGCTCGGATCTGAGGACCGCCAGAGGTCACCAGCGCCTTCATCTCTACACTTGCCAAGATCAGGCCTTAAGGCCCAAGCGTTGCTCCCAAAAGACACAGCCTTGACCTAATTTTACACCTTGTCGGGGAACTGGGGAGTTTAAGGCGTTTCTGTTTCTGGGAAGTCGAACCTAAATCTCCAAAACACTGTTGAACGAATTTGGAAGGCATTAAGGAATAAACAACTGTTTTTAAAAGCTACGGTTTGGAAAAGCTACGAAGAGCAAGCACAGTCAGTTTGCTTTTCAAATTAGCTTCAGACACAACTCACCTTCCAAGCACCAAGTGTACACTGCTGGAGACACAGGGGAATGGGATAGTCTCTGAAACACTAGTGTTTTATGGTGCTTGCTTGATTAATATTTCTCCTTTTAAAGTACGTTCTCAGCCTGAATATATTTTTATGATTATGCTATATGTATTTTTACTATTTATTTATTTATTTATTTATTTAGTGTGTGTGTGTGTGTGTGTGTGTGTGTGTTGCACCACATGCATGCTTGGTGTCTACAGGGGTCAGAAAGGCTGTTGGATCCCCCGGAACTGCATTTATAAAAAGATATGATCGACCGACATGTGGCAGACGGAGCCAAGCCCTGGTGCTCTGGAACCAATGTTCCTGCGGGCAACGCTCTTCCCCCTTGAGCCATCTCTAAAGCCATGTGGTACATTTTGATGTGACCACACAGAACACCTCGAGGCAGAAGGGCCTGAAACAGTTGTGATTCCAGTTCTAAGTACAGTTGGTAAACCCTGGGTTATACAAACATGGACGTTTTCTATTTATTTGTGTACTTGTCTGTTTATTGTGTGTGAGACTGCAGAGGAATGTGTGGCACACCTGTGGAGGTCAGAGGACAATCTTCTACCGCCCTGTTGAGGCAGGGTCTTTGCACTGCTTACTTCAGGCTAGCCCACCCAGGAGCTTCATTGGATTCTTTGTCTCCTAGAGTAGGAGACCTGAGATTACAGATACACAGCAGCACAAAGGTGGATGCTGGAGATGTCAGGCTGTGGGGCAAGATTTTTACCCTCTGAGCCATCTTCCCACTGCAGATTTTCTTTAGTATAACTGTCATAAAGTGTTCTTTGAAAAGTGGCCCTTGTACAGACTTTCTAAATAAGAGGCCTCTGATAAAGTTAGAGAAAGCTGTGGGGTGGCAGGATTTAAATCTCTTTATTCACAGGAATATCCCTTCCACTCAAGGAATTTCTCTCTCAGACATCATCTTATGCACTAAGGCGGCATGAGTGACTCCATGCCTCTCAGCTAAAATAACAGAAAGCACTTAACTACTCACCTTTCAGAGCCCAACTAGCTAGATCTATGACAGACACATGATGTGGCCAATGAGCAGAAGAACTGAAGAAAACTGACCCGATATCCCACTTCCAAGACAGCAAAGAAAACTGCAGAAGAGTGTGTGAATTCAGGAGCACATGCTGTTTTGCACGACTTTTAGATGTATGTTTGATTTAACAACTGAAACAATTGTGGTGGCAGAAACCACAGATCTACAGGGTGAAATAAATTCCTTTACATTTTATATGTATATAAAGTAATTTTTTTTTCTTTTGAGACATGGTCTGACATTGTAGCTCTTGCAGACCTTGAACCCCTGGCTATCTCTACTGTACCCAACTAGAAAAACTTTTTTAAGTAAATGAGTGATGGCTACTTTAAATACAGTGAATGTCCTTTGAATGCTGATTTTTTTTTTCCTTTAGAGCACCTGCTAACACCATTGTGAGATTATTACAACATGGCTAACGCACGGATTCCTCTTGAGTGTGGATTTGGGGAAGGGCATATGTTCTTTCCTTCTTTTCATCTTCATTGTTTAAACAAAAAAAAAAAAAAAAAAAACAAAAAAAAAAGCCGGGCAGTGGTGGCGCACGCCTTTAATCCCAGCACTTGGGAGGCAGAGGCAGGCGGATTTCTGAGTTCGAGGCCAGCCTGGTCTACAGAGTGAGTTCCAGGACAGCCAGGACTACAAAGAGAAACCCTGCCTCGAAAAAACAAAGAAAAAACAAAAAAAAAAAAAACCAACATCTTCATTGTTGTGTGTTTTGGGACAAGTTCTCCTGTTTCTCAAAGCTGGCCTCAAACTAGCAGAGGATGGTCTTGAATTTCCCCCTCCTGCCTCCTGTGCAGGAGGTATGCTATGCTTGGTTTATGTGGTCAGGAGAGTTCATGGCTTCCTGCATGTTAAGTAAGCACATTTTTATCTGAGCCCACCTCCAGCCCCATATATATATATATATATATATATATATATATATATATATATATATGAACAAGCAGGAAACGAAACATTGAGTTTTAAATAGGAAATAATTTAAAATAGCATCATTTAACACTAAGAAAGTTGAAAATTTTAGTCAACCACTGACTTCATATTGAGAGACACTGGGTCGGCTGGCAGGCTTTATGTTGCTGTTGGTTATGGAGAAGGTAACAAACACACTCACAGTAGTGCTGCAGGGAGATTCCAGAGTTCCTCATCCTCAAATAGCTATATGGTGAGTTAGTTCCAGGCCAGCCTGGGCTACATAAGAGCCTGTCTTCAAAAAAGGCCTTTGAAGAAGTAGGGCTTTCTTTTTTGTACCCCAGTCTTACACTCTGATTTGATGTGTGACGTTTCTCTCACACAAACATACTCCCACCTTTTCAATGCTGTCTGCTTTTCAGCAGATTGGTCCATGTCCCGGTCCATGCCCCTGACATGCCCAAGAGCCTCCAGAGCTGTGAAGTCAGTAAACTTCTACATGCAGGAGCCAACCTCAGATATTCTATTACAGCATTAGAAAACACACAAGCTTAGCTGCCTCCTATTTAGCCTAGTCTAAGTCTTATGCCAATACTTGCAGAGAATACCATAGAGTAGACATCCTGTCAGCTCCACAAGTCAGTAAAGAGAAGAGGGAAGATGTGACCTCATTTTTGCAGGAGCACAGCATTGGCATTTCATCTAGGCTTTGCTCCACAGTTACTGGCAATAGCTAGGTGTGCCTGACTCACTATAAAAAGGGGCTGGCCCCCTCCTCCCTCCCTCTCTTTCTCTCTCTCTCTCTCTCTCTCTCTCTCTCTCTCTCTCTCTCTCTCTCCTCTTTCTCTCAACTCCCCTCCCCATGCCCTGAGGCTCCTACCTCAGAGGGAGAAGGGATGCTTCAGCGTGGGCCAGCAGAGGCACCCCCTTCCCCCACACCATACCATACCTCTACCAAACTTATCTCTGGTCTCTCTTTTTATAAAACACAACACCCAGTATAAATAGAGTGTCTGACCTCCACACCCTGTCCTCCCCAGCTCTCTCCTGAGTTGCTGATATCTCCTCCTTTGCTAGCAGTTAATGTGTACTCAGGACTGATCTCTTTCTGTATCATCCTGGATGTAGGGTCAGAATAATTTCTCAAAAGTATAGGTTTTGAGTTTTTTTTTTAATCATAAAATACTATGAAGTCCACCACACCAAGAAGTAAATTCTGTGAGTTCTCCGCCCCCACAGCTTATGTGCATATGATGTGCCAAGAACGATGAGGCTGTCACTCTCCATCAACATTCATTTGCAACATCAACAAACAGTTACTTGGTTCCAGTTATGGGCAAGCATGATGGTGTGTCTTGGTTCTCTACTGCCTCCATTCTGCTAGCAAAGAAGACTTTGAAAACTAACCTACAGAACCAGAGTGGGATGCTCTGCCATAAGTATCAGGATCCACCCAAAATGAATTTAATCTTCCTCCACCTCTAATCCTGAATTCTCCCTGGTTGTGCTGCTGTTTCCTCCCTTGTCCCCACACTGTAATGTGTTTCTGTCCCTACAGACGGCAACATCTGTTCACTATACATATAATTGTCCTTGAATTTCTTTCCAACTTTCTTCCCAGATGGGCTTTGGTTTTCTGTACCTTAGCTCAAGCTTTTCTTCTGGTAAAATCTGTCCAAAGCTTCTGTCCCCCTGACTTACATGGCCTCCATAATGCTTGTTGTATCGGCTTGTCTGAATGTCCCTTGCTTGGTTATATAGAAAAAAAGAAAGGGGGATATGAAATTTACCTTCGTATCACTAACACATAGCTCTGACGCTGGCACAAACTCAATACTCAACACTACTGTCTACCTACCAAGATAAACTTTACAAAGCTGAGGAAATACTATGACTTAGTCTCTGTCCTTGGAAAGGCTGGAAAACAAATAGTAGAAGTGTACTATTGCCCCATTGTTGACTGTTCCACTTGTTGTAAGTGGCCCTGGCCTCTTGGTAAGTAAATGTGTCACCAACTGAACAATATAGGAGACTTAGAGAGAGTAGATACATAGAAGATCCATGAAGCCCAAAAAGTAACTTTTGAACTTAAAATATGATCATAGAAAGTAATAGATAGGGCTGGCATGGTGGTTGCATGCTTTTAATCCCAGCACTCCACAGAGAGGGATAAGTAGGTAGATTTCTGTGAGCTCAAGGCTACAGAGTGAGTTACAGGACAACCAGTGCTACACAGAGAGAGCATGTCTTAAACAAACAAACAAACAAACAAACAACAAAAACAAAAAGAGAAAGTAATAGATACAACTTTAAGGGCTTCCTAAGAAGAGCAGTAAAGGAAGTCTGTGGTCACAGGCCAGGGGAGAGGGGGCATAGCACAGTTGCTCCATGCTCTG